TAATTGGAGACTTTGAATTTGAAAAATAGCTTTCGAGAACCCAATCCCAAATTGTAAATATAAAATGATGGTGGAATGTACAAAATGCCCTTATGTTTTTTCTCTTTCTTCCTCTCCAGATATTCTTTCCTTTCCTTCTTCTTTTTCTCTCTCTCTCTCTCTCTTCGTCTTTCTCTATCCTCTGGTTCTATTATAATTATTTAACACACCATATGTGCTCCGAGCTTGTGATTGGAAACAAGTATAATGATTGCAAGATTGGGGCTGACCTTCGATGGATGCCACTAGGTTGGGAAGAATGATATGAGGTTGGGGCATCCTCAATCTATGACCATGAAGACAATGATGAGCAATACTTTTTTAGCAACCATGGGTAAAGAATTAAAGAGGAGGAGCTCCGCGACCACCGTAAAGATGGTGTTTTTTTTTTGGCTAAACTATTTGGTTTTTCGTTTTATTGATTTTAGTTTTGCTTCTTCCCCCCTCACATTACAGGATCTCTTCTTTTTTTTTTTCTCATTTTGATTTTTGTCAATTTGAGTTGGTAGATACTAACGAAATAAGAAAAAAGATTAGTCTTGATGTCATTTTGATTCTCATTATAACTTTGTGCCCACCATGTGGATGCTTCGATTAAACATCAATCTTCACAACATATATACATGTTGTATGTTTTTGACACCGTCAGGTTTGGAAGCTTTTCGATTTTAATTTGTCATCTTCTTTCATTGGTTAGGCGAGGATATGAAAATAATAACTCTAGTAAGTGAGATAATAAGTATGTATATGAAAATTACAATTCTAGTAAGTGAAAGTACAAGTTTAGCTATAAAAATTACAAATTTAGAGAGTCGAATAGTAAGTCTGAATGTAAAAATTATAAAGGTTGTATATGAAATAACAACTTTGGATATGAAAATTATAAGTGTTATAAAATAACAAGTCTGCATATGGAAATTACAAGTACAGTATATTAAATAACAAGTCTGGATATGAAAATTACAAATGTAGTATATTAAATAACAAGTTTGCATATGAAAATTATAAGTCTAATAAGTGAAATAACAAGTATGAATATGAAAATTATAAGTGCAATATATCAAATAACAAGTCTACATGTAAAAATTACAAGTCTAGTAAGTGAAATAACAAGTTGGAATATGAAAATTATAGGTCTAGTAAGTGAAATAACATATTTAGATATGAAAATCACAAGTTTATTTAATACAGTAACAAGTCTAATAAGGCGAATAACAACTTTTGATAAATAATTCATACAAATTTAAGAATCTGTGTTAAATTGACAATTTCCACAATTTCTTGACGAATGACAAGTTTAGTAAGTCAAATGACAACTTCTAATAAGCAATTCATAGGAATTTAAGATTTCGTGTTAAAATAGCAATTTGCACAATTCCTTAATGAATGACAAGTTTAGTAAGGCAAATAACAACTTCTAATAAGTAATTTATACAAATTTAATTTTCTCTTCTCAAATAACAATTTTCAAATTTGTTTAGCAGATGACAAGTTCTGATAAGCAATTCATGACAAGTTTGGTTAGGCGAATGACAATTTTAGTAACGCAAATGACAACTTCTGATAAGCATTTCATACAAATTTAATTTTCTTTGTTCAAATGATAGAATTTCCAAAAGAATTTTAGAAAATTACAAATTTAGTAAAACAAATGATAGAATTTCTATGTTTTTGTCACTATATTTCTGCCACCACATTTCTAATTAAGTGGATAACATTAAACAATTCTAAATTGTTACAATATAGAACAAATTAACAAAGCTAGATTAAGAATATTATTGATATCTATTTTATTTGCGGAAGACCAAATAGAGAAATAGCCATCTGTTAGGAACAAACTTAAGAATTAGCTTGCCGATGAAGGACCAAGTTATGAGAGACTAAATACTCCATAGAATTTCACTTCAAAAATCCACTTTGGATCAGACTACAATGCCAAAACAAAATGCCATAACCTATTTTAATCATTATACTGTACAAGGCATTCGTAAACTGCCAACATTAATAGGCTAGCTTAAGTAAACCCAACAAGAAACTGTAGAGACTTAATGTGATTTTTCAAATAGACAGCAACCCCCTCATGTGTAATGGAATTCAAGTATGAATATTCGCTAGGCATCATCATTGTTAAAGTTTATAGGGAGATATTGAAGATATCATCGTTTCAGTTAGTAACAAAACAGTTTTGATTGAAAGAGAATCGATTCTCAACTCAAAAGCATCTCTGAATTCCAAAACTCCATCACACCAATTACAAGGAATGAAAAGCAATAGCAGCAGCGGACAAAAAACAGGGGAAACTAGCAAGAGGAAGCGATATCATCCAAATTTCAATACATACCAGTGGTGACAAAGAAGATTGAATTATGCAAAAAAATTTCCAAATCGGATGATATGTCGCAGCTATGATAAATCTGGATAGAACTTTCAAATAATTACTGAATCTAGGAAGTGTCGAAGAGTATTCTCGAGCATCCACAGCAAGCAATGAAGAGAATAAGGCTATGCTTTGAAAGTGAAGAAGAAGAAAAACGGGGTTACGGTGGTGCAGCTGATATTTGCTTCGAGTAATGACCCTCGAGAGGGAAAGAGGTGGCGACGACAATACCCATGAGCGAAGTTTCTTCTCATCGCATCCATGGCAGCCACTAGGGGCTTTGGCAAGGAGATGAGTCAAGGAACCAGAAATCCAAGGAAGATGGAGACAAGACAAGGAGAGAAAATCAAACCCAGAACAATTAGTTGTCATCCTTACCGTAGCTCATTCACTCATGGTCGCCTTCCTTCATTCTTGCTGCCGTTTACATAAGAAAGGAAAGAGGGAGACGAGAATAAGAGTGAAGAAAGATGATGTCGGGGGATAAAGGATTGCGGAAAAGTAGAAGGCCAATTTCGTCATTTAACCAACATTTCATAATTTCTATTTGGGACCGGGTCCTCTAAAGCTATTATCCAAATTTAGAGTATCTAATCGCTATTTTATATATTAGGGGGTCTTTATTTGTAATTTTCCCGAAAAATTTTGCAAAAAATAAAAATAAAAATAACAAGAGAAAATACCGATCAGAATAGGAATACCCTTTTAGTTCTAAAAAAAATTATAGATTAGAATCGAAATAAATATATCATCAAAGCATCTTTTACAATACTATAAAGTTTGTTAAGAGCGAATTAACCTACATAAATATATATCAAACAAGTAATGTATGTGGATATATGTGTATATATATTTGAGAAAACGCGACTGGATATCAAAGCATTCAAAACTCTTTATCAAAGGATGGGGAAGTTACGTGATGAGCAATGTCTCCGACCACAAGTGCTTTAATTTTTCCCCCAAATATATTCACAACATTAACAATATAAATAAATAAATATATATATATATATATATATATTAATTGGTGTAATTACTCGATGGGTGTGGCTAAAGCCAAAAAGATGCATGTACATGATTGACTGACACAACCAAAGGTTGCAGAATTAATAAAGGAGGAGATGAAAGAAGGCCAAACAAAAAGAAGGGGGGAAAAAGCTTTAGAATTAGGTTGTTAAAATGAATTATTTATATCCTTTTTTTAGAAAATAAAAAAAATCTACATGAATCTATTTTGAAAGCTTTTCTTCTTCTTCTTTTTTCCCCAAATAGTAAAACCTGATAAGATCGAGACAATATCTAAACAACTCTACAGACTATTCTCAATCTTTAATTATTTACTAATTATTATTCTACTTAACGTCTTAATTTCTCCAATATCCAAATAGTTATTATTTACCCACCCTAATATTACTTAATCATCCTAAATAATCAGTATAGACATTAAATACACACATATGTCTCTTTATATAGGATAATTTTATTTAGATATTTCATTTGATATTTATTTACTTTTAACACACTGTAATGCCTAAAATAAATTATAAAACATATAATTATTTGTTCAATCATACTATATTCTTTATATATATTTTGAGGTGACAACTAATTTTGTTTAGTCCTTAAAAGATGGGATGTTACATTAATCATATGAAAATCAAGCTTCAAAAGTTGAAGCAAAATGTATACAAAATCTACAAGGTAGCACACATCATCAACTAGGAACTCTGGAGGAAGAGTAACAAAGAAACTTAAAGAGGAGGGAGAAGAATGGAAGGATGAAGGAGCTGAAGAAAGGCATATTTGAGAATGGAGGGAAAATGAACGTTGGTTGCATGCTTTATATACAAAAAGATGGACTGCTTTTAGATAGGCTGATCTGAATAGTCATTCACAATTATAAGCTTAGCCTGATTTGGTCTAATCCACGTGGTTTAGTTTGTAATCGTTCCCCCTTACATGGGCAATTCATAGTCCCACTAATCATGTAAGTCATCAAACCTAACATTCTCCCCATTTCGTATGATAGTAAATCACTTAAAAAAAAAAAATGTTTAAGGATAAAAGCAAAAGAATAAGGCACTATTAATAGATATTTGTACACAATAATTATTCGGGAAAACAAAAAGGAGCCTAGAAATATAAAATCCCAGAATGATACACTGAAATTGCAAGATTCCAATGAGTATGAGATCCTCTTGGTCAAAAAAAAAAATGAGTATGAGATCCCAAAATAGGATTTGAAATTTCAAAAAAAAAAAGTGAAAAAATGTTCCTTTTTTTTTTATAAAAAAAAAAAAAGTCCACACCCCCTCGCTAGCGAGAGGAATTTTCTATGGGACAATGGTAGAATTTACATTACGCTTTGGTCCTCTATCATATGATGAATTTGATAATTTTTTTATTTCAGATGTGCCAAGATAAAAAATTGCATGGCTTTAGAACATAGTTTAAAATTGCTTGTTTTTTATAGATTATATATTTTCAAGGGAGTAGAGCGCCCAAAACTATACTTAAGCTGAAATGATTGATATCGCCAAAATATTAATGGAAAAAAACAAGGTGAAGCGGATGTGTAGTGACAAGGTACGAAAGCCCTAAAGTAAGATTTAAATGTACCAGGGGGTCAGGTAGTCCTATCACACTCAAGCAAACTACAAATTTGCCACCAATATGTAATATCTAGACGAGGTAGGCAATGTGATGATAGAGTTGAATGTAAAATAAATATAAGAACAATATGAACTATAAATAAGTTCAATCATAATAATATTGGGGAAAGCAAAGCACAATCAAAACCCAAACAATCTACATATTATGTTTCTATAGACATCATTTGCCAAGAAGAACAAGGGATCAGGGCACAAACTTAATGTCTTTGAAGTACTCATGCTCAAGAGCGTTCCTGGCTGTAATTCTTCTGCTGGGATCCAAGCAAAGCATACTCTGGAATAATAATATTTCGCGCACTTAAATTTGGGTAGACAAGGTTCCATGGGTATAGTTTAGATGATTAACGTGACAAATATACGTTAATATCTGATTTAAATAAAAACTATGGAAAATATGAATGAAGAAGAGTATAAAATAAGGTAGCTTGCCGGATGACAAAATGAAATTTTGCTAGTCGCATACGTATCTGATAAATAACGGGGAGCAACGCAAATCCATTTTAAATAAGTCAAATCACCGCCAGGGAACTAATACTAGGGGAAAAACTGACATGCATTAATGAGAAACACACCTCCCCCCCCGGGGGGCCCCAAAAAAAAAAAAAAAAAAAAAACCCAAGACCGGAAAAATATCCTTTGGGTTCAGTAATTAGTCCACTCAAATTATGCCAGCCACCACCAAGGTTAATTGGAAGAAACACATTGCATACTAATGAACTAGCATTTTGTTTACTTCCTGGCCAGCAGCAGATGAACTGCATTGTAAATAGCAACAAGGAATTGTTTGTCCCACACTCAGCTGACATTAACCTTTCAGGAGAGCCTCACCCCAAGAGCTAGCTCTTGGGAATATGGATCTCCTTTTTCTCGGTTATTTTCTTCCCCTCAGTGTGAGTACGGTTCCAATTAAGGTTAGTGTAAGCTGTCTCTCCAAGTTTCATATCAGCAGAAGTCTTCCAATCTCCATCAAGAAAGCGATTTAACCATTCAATCATGACATTACAAAATATTTGGTTTCATTTTCATTCCCATTATTACTATATCTGAAAGATGCACTTACAGAAAGAAGATCGATGCCAGTTGGCTCAAGATTAGGAACCACAGTTGCCAGGTCCTGCAAAGTAGAAATAAAAATCCATACTGCACGTTAACACTGAATACATTAAGAAGAACTCATGTTCAAGGAACTTAAAAACAGCAGCAACACGTAAGAACCTTTGGCGGCCACTTTGGGAAGGCTGATTTAAAATCAGGCAAAGAGGTCACCCCAGGCCACGTATCCTCATTTGGCGTACCCATGATCCTTCATATGAGCAATAATATGTCGAATTAGAATCACATCTAAACTTTGTATAATATGCACATTTGTGCAAAAAATTTTCCCCAAATACTTTCCCGTTCTTCAATACTTCAAAAATATTGGTTTTATATGTAAGTAAATATTATCATATTACTAAAGTCACAAATCTCAACCTCCACTTTCCTCTTCTCTAGTCAGGCAATATAAGAGGGCGACTGAAATGGCTAATAGAAATCCTTGATTGCCACCCTTTTATGTTATACAAGTTACAGCAATGAATAAGCACTTAATTCATATGGGAATACAGGAATATAAATTTCAAATCCAGATCAAAGTAACCATTTAAGAAATTCTTATGATTCTGCTTCATCGTAGCATGCATATGAAACATAAATCATTAAAATCAAATTACTTAGCCGTAGTCCAGGCTCCCGGTAAGAAAAAGAATAAACATAATCATGAACGTACAGAAACAAATAGGGACAATAATTTCCACTCCAGCAATCACTGCAGAAGCAAACATGACATGACACAACTTCGAACTAACATTTTTTCCTAATTCTTTTATTCATTTTTGGCTAACCTAGGTCTCCTATGCTTTGGCCCAAGATGACAGCCATCGCCAGAAAGACCTGATACCTGAGATGACCTCAGCCTAGGCAGCAGCCCCAAAATAATCACTCAAGTTTTCAAATGTGGGATGTCTAATTCTCAAGGGACGTGTTTATGAACAACTCAGCTCAACTCAAAACTCTCAAGGCTCTAGCAATAACTGATGACCACTAAGGACCTATTAAATGCAAGTCGCAAGTTACTATTTGACATTTGTACTAAGAACAATAAGGCTCATACTACAAGGTGAACCACAACCTATGCATAGGACGTCTAACCAGACAGCCTCAGGATCATTGGCAAAGAACACTATGAAACTGCACAAAGAGTTAAACAAACTTTACAGAATAAGACCAAATGAAACTTCAGAAGAATTTCAGTGCCGTACAATTCAAAGGTTTCCATATTTTCAACCCATGAAGTATTTCACTGGTTAGACCTTTTAATAATGATGAAACGAATAGTAATTATAAAGATAATTATAAATGCATCTGCAGGATAAAAAGAACAAGATGGGATAACAATGCATACTTTAAAGCACTACCAATTATTCTTCATCCCTCAAGGAAAAATAGAGAAAAAATATCCTGTTAGTTCCATTAGCAGAGTTTCCAATTAAGTCTCACATCTATCGGGAGTCAATGTTTGCATTTAGCCAGGTCGTAAGGGAGATTCTAAGGTTGAGAGAATATTATTACGCTAAGATTATTTGAGATCATCAAATAACAGGGAAATTCCTCTATAAGCACACTCTTCAAGGTTTGCAGAATACTAATTATAATTAGCAAGGGACAAGTATGGATACTGAAGGTCATTCAAAGTTAGAAGACATCATTTACCAAAGCCAATTACCTGAATATCTTGAACAACTCATCAATCTCAGAGTCTCCAGGAAATAGTGGCCGCTGGTTCAACATCTCCGCAAATATACAGCCCACTGACCATACATCAACTGGGGTAGAATACTGGCGAGATCCAAGCAATATTTCTGGTGCTCTGTACCATAGCGTCACCACCTACAGGCAGCGACCAATGAGAACTATACATGCAGAAATCATGAATAAATGAAAAGTAACCACAAAGTGAATTTACATGACTTCCAGCCACAAGACTTTACAATGTAAATTAATCTCTTCTTTCCTTAAGAAACTTCATTACATAGACCTCTATTCTATCATAAAAAGATGCACTGATCTCGAAAATTCTAAAACCACCCATTAGATGGAAATACCCTCAAAGATAAGATTGTCTTCTTCCGTTGAAAACATTACATAAGAATACTTAAACTAGTCAACTATATATTATAATATATTATTTTATCTCAAATATTATTTTTTTAAATGTAAAAAATATTTTGTTGATACTTGTTTGATTTTTGGTTTTTATTCATTTTATAGACAGATTATGATTTTCTTTTAAAAAAAAAAAATCAGTGAACTCATAATTTGTTAAATTTTGGGTAGTTATTTTAACCATTTGGACGTATTTTGGACATAATGGACTTGATTTTAGCTTATCTTTTGATTTCAAGGAATGAGAGAGTATCTACAAATGCGAGAATTGCACATGGAACTTTGTTTCTCTTTGAATTTTAGTCTCACCCATCCCCTTCCTCCCTGAGATTCTTAGCCCAACCCAGCTCCAATGTGAGGAATCTCTACAACCAAACTTCAAAACACAGCCACCTTCGTTTAATTTAAAGTTTGATCACCCAGTCCCCGTTCAATAACTCTGCAACAAGCCAATTAAGGCCCCTACAATCTGCTTCTAATTCAACCTTTCAACAATTTTCCCTTCCCATTATTTTACAACAAGCTGTACACGTATTAGCAAGTCTGATAGCCATTCTTGCAAAGTTATTTCTGATGATATTCTCATTATGTGTTCTGGAGCTGCAAGACAGATAATCAGCTCCATTTCTTTTTCCATTGCAGAGTGACAGCATGAACAATGTTTTCTTGGGAATTTTTTATTCATCTCTTTAAGTCACTTTTCAACAGTGCACTTTATAGGTTTTGGCAAGATAAAAGTCACTTTTCCCCCTGGATGCCTGATATAAGATTTGACTTTTCTTATCTCTTAAACGAATTGTTTCTCTGACAAAAAATTCTTGAGGAAGGTAATGAATCTGAGAAACGGATAACATACTTAAAATGGGGTGCACATTATACTCATTCCCTCATCAGAGTGCCTTTCTTTCTTTTTTTTTTTTTTTTTTTGACCAAAATCAGAGTGCCTAGATAAGGTAGGACATAGTCAAACCTCATGTGTAAATGTTCTGACAGGAATACCAAATGCCCTGGCCAATCCAAAATCTGCAAGCTTTAGTGAATTACTGCGGCGATCTATCAACAAATTCTGTGGTTTCAAGTCTCGATGAAGAACTCTATGCGAATGACAATAAGCAATGCCACAGAGAATTTGATAAAGAAACATCTGCAAAATAAATGATTAAACCAATCAAATTTCAATTGAATTGGTCCTTTGGCCAAGATTAGCAATTGTCTTTGAATTCACTATCAATGCTTCAAAATCATGGTTAAGCCAACAAAGCAGCCGACACAATTATACTATTTGGAGCCAGAAGCAATGTAAAACTTCACAAAATCAACTAAACCATTGATTAGGGATCAAGAGCTAGGAAGGGAACCCAGAAAGCATTTAAATATTGATAGCTATAGGGATTATGGTCTCTTCAATGCCAAGAAGCTAGGACTTTCAAGCCGAACTAGTTTAGTGATGAGTGAAACTCTTTTCTAGTCAATTCCATGAGATTATATCTGAAAAACTTGCTGAGTTGAAGATTACAGCAATTGTCTGGATAGCAGAATTTAATGGCTCAGTTAAAACACTCACTGCAGCACTTCATGCCTTCCTTCACGCATTGATTCTGAAAATAGAGCTTAGCTAGCCCCAAACCCAAGAGGAAACAATAATGGATGACCAAAAAGCCTTGAGACAATAAACTCCTATATTGTAGATAAAGCAAAATAGATCATGTTCAGGCATCTTTAACCCTTCATAACTCTAAAATTTATACAATCTCTTGTAGAATAATTGATAGGCTTTCCCATGCAGACTCTGAAATTTGAAAAAGATATGAATGATCTGTTAAGTTACTCAGCGTGCTTAATGACATTCCAATTGTCTAAGTGAAGGACTGGTGGTGTTTGATTATTTTGAACAAAAACAGATTGTGAGAGAAGCAGCTTCCGCATGCAGAACTCTCTCCCTCTCCCTCCCTCTCTCCCTCCCTCTATCTCACACACACACTCAGTAGGAGTCTCAAATTATTCGGAATAACTTGACTAAAGAAAGATATTAACTACAAGATAAGCTACAAATTAACATTGAGTTACAACACTGAATATGTTAATTCTAATCTTCTTGATAATCATAAAACCCTCATCTTTTAGGATTTTACTTGGATAGACTTATGAACTCTACCCTCAAGCTTAAGATTATACAAGCTGCAGCTTATTCCAACTATCACTAAACTTAATTTACGTGTGTAAACATATCTAGATTCCAGACTAGGAACTTAAATACTGCACTCGTATTTGAAAACGACAATATATCTGCACTAGAACAGGTACATGAAGCATTAAGAATGAAAATGTACCCAGATGGGAACACCTAGACACTATACAGCAACTTAAAAGTAGCTAGTACTTCATCTGACAATGTCCTCAGTAGATTAGCCACAGCTCCAGAATTATGGACACTCATTTTGCATGATTAAGCTCCTCAACTTTCTCCTAGCCGCTCCTCTCAGCCACGTCATCTAATCTCAATGGCACAGCTCCCAAAAAAATTTGATCTGCTTCACTTGAGTAGTCCTCTCAGCTAAACTTTGTTTATCGGGTTTCTCATTGATGCGCCCAGTACCATACAATTCCAGTACTTAAGTATAAAACTCACTACGTTGTTTTTATATTGTCAAACAATGATCACTTGTGTCACTTCAATCAGCAATTCATAGTCAAAACAACAACCATATAGCTCAATCAAAAAATGATGAGCTTAACCAATTAACACATTTAGATATTAGGCACAACTAGCACTTATGCTCCCTGAGCAAAAAGTTTTTGGATGAAAGCAATAGTAGAGCTTGCTCAAAGAATTAGTCGAAGCTCCAAATCCAACATAAAATCCAAGATAATAAAGATACTTAGGGCTTTCTCAGGTGTAAGAATGGGAAAGAAAGTCGGTAATGATTAAAGTTCAAACCCTCCTAATGTAATTATAAAAACGAAAATAAGATATTACAGGTACAGTCTTCTCTCAAAGCAAGCTTAACTATCATGTATGTTTTCAGATAAGAACAGAAAAAATATGGCTTGCATACACACAATGCATACCTCTTCGAGTGATGAGTGATGAGTGATGAGTGATGAGTGATGAGTGATGAGTGATGACTCCATACAATCATACGAACCTAGTTCTATATTTGATTATGAATCTCTAATCCTTTAGGACTTCCACTTAAGTACGTCTCTGATCAGATATCAACAAATTACCAGAAATTTTATTTCAAATGTCAAAAAACCTTTACATGACATAATATCAATCAGGTAATTTATATTTAACTAAGTCATTCATCACAAGACTAGTGAAGCAAGAATTAATGAGGAGGGACCTGCATTCATCCCTTTTTGACATATACAAAGTAAAGTGAAAGGAATTGAAAGCTATAACATTGCAGGCTGATTAAATTTCCTTGATAAAGCATTATATATTATTTTCATTTTTTGAGCGAGATACAAACCTATAATTAAGGCAGTCACATATTTAGTTATCCAAAGCTAAAACACCAAACAGAGAAATTATTTACACACTTTTATTTGTCGATGATCTTTTGCAAAATCAGGAGATGAATCCATGTGCTTCTTCAGATCCAGGTCCAGGTACTCAAAAACCAGGTACAAACGCTTCTCACTGTGTACTACATCCTGTAACCTGTCATACACATAGCCATCAAGCATACACCATGAGGATATGGCCGAAATGAAAGAAGAACAATGGGACAACAGCTTAGTGAATAAACAAATTTAAGAGGAAATTTTATATGGACAAATTGAACCACCCCCATCTTATTTTTTATAGCACAGCATAACAGCCTACAAGTATGTCTTCCATAGAGCCTATAAAACTACCCAGATAGAATTTATATTGTTTAAAGGGGATGATCATAGTGGGGCTTATGAAACCATTTGACAAAAACACCAATAATAGTATAGACTCAACCATTCAAAAGAGGGAAAAAAAAAACAAAAAAAAAAGGGAAAACCTACAACAACAACAACAAGAAGATATGTAGTGATTAAGTAAAAAATGAAGTCTCATGCCATATTAGAGAGTCAGATTAGCATTGTGTTTATTTTGCTGAATATTTCATGCTCATGTCTTATTCCATATGATTGGGTTACAATATATAGAGTCCGGATGAGAAATAATATCCGGTTACAATCAATCAGTCATAAATTACATATATTGCAATACCTCAATAAATCAGGAAATATATATTCTAGCTAATATCATGGGCAATTAATGGAGAGAATCAAGGGAGATAATCAGGGGCTTTCTAACACTCCCCCTCAAGCTGGAGAGTAAATGTCAACCATTCCCAACTTGCTTCGAAACCCTTCAAACTTGACTCTGGCTAAAGGTTTGGTCATGACGTCAGCAATCTGATCAGTTGAGCGCACATAGCTCAGGTTAATTGTGCCATCTTCAACCTTTTCTTTGATGATCAACCTTTTCTTTGATGAAGTGCCAATCAATGTCAACATGCTTTGTTCGGTCATGATACACAGGATTCTTGGTCATTTCAATGCTGGCTTGGTTGTCACACCAGAGGTTCATAGGTCCTTCATAGGAAATTCTCAATTCCTTCAAAAGTCTGATCACCCACATTCCTTCACATACCCCCAAGGCTACAACTCTTAGCTCAGCTTCAGCACTACTCCTTGAGACTACTGTCTGTTTCTTGCTTTGCCAAGTGACTAGGTTTCCCCAAACATAAGTGCAGTATCCTGTGACAGATCTTCTGTTATCCACAGCTCTCCCATGATCTGCATCAGTGTAGACCTCTTTGTTCCTTGTACTCCCCTTTTTAAAGAATATTCCTCTTCCAGGATTGAGTTTGAGGTAGGTCAGGATTCTGTATACTGCTTCCATATGTTCTTCCTGGGGTTGATGCATAAATTGGCTTACTACTCCAACAGCATAGCTAATGTCAGGCCTTGTATGAGTCAAGTAGATCAGTTTACCTACAAGTCTTCTGTACCTTTCTGAGTTGACTGGTACCCCGTCTGGTTTCACTTCCAGATTACATGATTCTTCCATAGGCGTCTCACTAGGTTTAGCCCCAAGTATTCCTGTTTCGTGGAGCAAATCAAGTGTGTACTTTCGTTGAGACACACTTATACCCTTTTTGGATCTAGCAACCTCCATTCCAAGAAAGTACTTCATTTGTCCTAGGTCCTTCACTTGGAATTCCCTAGTTAGAGCTTTCTTGAGTTGGGAGATAGAAACTTCATCACTGCTAGTTATGACTATATCATCCACATACACAATTAGGATCGTTACCTTTCCATTACTATGTTTAACGAAGAGAGTGTAATCAGCTTGTCCTTGGATGTAGCCAAACCTTTTGATTACCTTGGCAAACCTGTCGAACCACGCTTGTGGAGACTGTTTCAGGCCATATAGTGATTTCTTCAGTTTGCAAACTGAGTTGGGTGGAGCTATTACTCCATCTGGGATTTCCATGTACACTTCCTCCTCCAAATCTCCATTTAGGAAAGCATTCTTCACATCTAGTTGATGTAGAGACCAGTCAAGGTTAGCAGCTAGAGACAGGAGTACCTGGATGGTGTTGAACTTTGCCACAAGAGCAAATGTTTCTTGATAATCAATCCCCTAAGTCTGGGTGTACCCTTTTGCAACTAATCTTCCTTTGTACTTGTTGATACTTCCATCAGGATTGAATTTAGGGGTGAAGATCCACCTGCAACCCACTGCTTTCTTGCCCTTAGGAAGTGTGATAATATCCCACGTGTTATTTTCCTTTAAGGCTCTCAACTCCTCATATGCGGCACGTTTCCAATTAAGATCTTTCATAGCCTGTTGAAATGTTTCTGGAATCTTCACCTGTGAGCTATTCACCATAAAGGTTTGCATTCTAGCAGATAAATTGCCATAGGAGACAAATTTTTGAATAGGATGCTGAGTACATGATCTTACCCCCTTTCTAAGTGCAATGGGCCATCCTAGCTCTTCAGGATCCAACTCTGGATTGGAATCATGTTGCTGCCTTGGAATGGAAGGAACCCTACTGCTACTATCCTGCTCACCTGATTGAGGACTTGAACGCTCTGTCACTCCTGCATCAATTTCAGCATTCGTTTCCATTGGGTGAGTCGAGTAAGGAGTGTTTGTGGGGTTTTGGTGCTCTAGTGGAGGTGTAGGACTAGGGGTTTTTGGTTCCGGTTCAGGGACAGTGATTTCTTCTTGTGGTATGGCAGGTTCAAGAGGGGTGGTAAGGTGTGTTGGGATTGGTCATAGGTTCAGGTGTAATTAGCCATTCTACTCCATAGTGCTCCCCCTGAATGGGTAATTTGGGATAATAAGCATCATCCTCATAAAAAACTGTGTCTTTGGAGATTATGAGTTTTCTGGTAGTGGGACAATAACACTTATACCCCTTTTTGGTGGAGGAATACCCGAGGAAAATACATTTTTCTGCTCTAGCATCAAGTTTGCCCCCATCATGTTTATGAACAAAGACGACACACCCAAAGACCTTTTGAGGGATGGTATTGATGATAGGTGAGGTGGGGTAGGTCTCGAGGAGTTTTTGAATGGGGGTAGTGAAATGGAGAATTTTTAAGGTCATTCGATTGATGAGATAAGCAGCGGTTAGCACAGCATCTCCCCAAAACAGACTTGGAACATTTCTTTCCATCATAATAGCTCGGGTTACTTCTAGAAGATGCCTATTTTTCTGCTCAGCAACTCCATTTTGTTGAGAAGTATAGACACATGAGGTTTGGTGATGGATTCCTTCCTGCTCAAGAAATTCCCTAAAGGCTCCACTCACATACTCTTTAGCATTGTCACTTCTCAGAACTTTGATGGGAGTTTGGAATTGGGTTCTTACAAAAGAGTAAAAGTTTTTGAAAATTTGTAAAGCTTCAGATTTCTCTTTCATAAGGTAAACCCATGTGACCCGGGTGTGATCATCGATGAATGTAATAAACCACTTTGTGCCTGTTCGGGTGTTGATTTTGGCTGGTCCCCAAATGTCAGTATGAATCATTGTAAACGGGGCAGTAGGTTTGTAAGTATGTTTGGGATAAGAGGCGCGAGTTTGTTTGGCAATTTGACACGTTTCACATTGGAAAGGAAAAGAATTTTTATTGAATAAAGTTGGAAACACATACTTCATATAATCAAAGTTGGGGTGGCCTAATCTTTGATGCCACAACATTACATTTTTATTCTGAGAATTAGAGCTAACCATAGCTTTCTTTGCTCCTGCAGTCTTCATATTTTTTCCTTCAAAGTAGTAGAGTCCATCCCATTCTTTAGCAGTCAAAATCTTCCTCCCCGAGGTCGAATCTTGAAAAACACACTTAACATCATCAAAGATTACCCGACATACTTGTCCTTTAGTCAATTTGCTCACAGATATAAGGTTGCAGGTAAGAGCAGGAACAAACAAAACATTATGGATTTCCAGATCATCAGATAGGGCCACAATGCCAACACCCTCAACTTTAGTATATAGTCCAGTTGCTACTTTTACCCTAAGGTTCTCATGACAATATTTGAGGGTTTTGAAGAAGGACTTATTACCAGTCATGTGGTCTGTAGCACCGGAGTCAACAATCCAGGTCTCATCACTAGTTACCATTGCATTAAGGGCTATAATAGAATTACCTGACTGAATCAAGTTCACGTTGGAAACAGATTTTGATTTGTTTTGTTTTTCAAGTATCTTACGAAGCATTTGAAGCTCTTCTCTGGTCAACTGGTCTCCATCATCACCTTTTTCTTCAGAGGAGGTGTGGTGGCTTTTTCTATCTTCCCGTTGTTTCTGCTTCCCTTGGGTTGGTTTCCCATGTAGTTTCCAACATTCGTCTCTGGTGTGGCCTTTCTTGTTACAGTGATTGCACCACTTGTTCCCTTTCTTCTCAGATCCCTCGAATGTTGGGGACCTCCTCGTGACCAATGCTGAGCCATCTACTGGGGTTTGGTTACCCTGAGTGAGGTGTCTCCGGCTTTCTTCAAACTTAACCATACTGAAGACTTCAAATAGGGAGGGAAGCGGTTTTAGACCCATAATTCTGCCTCTTACTTCTTCAAAGACATCATTCAAACCCAATAGGAAGTCATAGGTTCGTCCTTTTTCCACCAGTTGTCTGTAGTAATTAGCATCATCCATGTCCTTCCAAGGATGAACTTCAAAGAGATCCAACTGCTGCCATATCTTTGTTAAAGTGCTGTAATATTGTGTTACTGTTAAGTTTCCTTGCTTCAGATCTTTGAGCTGCCTCCTTAGATCCAATAGGGCTGCAGTGTTGTCTAGTGTGGAGTAAGTCCTCTTAGCAGCGTCCTAGATTTCCTTAGCTGTGCTTGCCAAGAGGTATCCTTCACTGATTTCGAGAGTCATTGAGTTGCACAGCCAAGACATCACCTGATTATTTTCAGCAAACCAGGTGTCAAATTTGGGATCATTATGTGAAGGTTGTTTTGCCTCTCCATTGATATATTTCTCCTTACGCTTCCCACGTAGATACATTAATACACTTTGAGACCATTGGAGATAGTTGCTACCATTAAGTTTGTGAGCCACCACCATAGCTTGATGTTCAGAGGTTAGGGATGGTTCTGGATCAGAGGCTTGAGAGGTGACTAAAGGTGAAGAAGCAGTGCTTTGAGTATTTGAGGATGTACCGGACATAAGGGCCATTGGAATATTACGAACGGACCCAAAAAGGGGTGGGAATTCTGATGGGTTCATTTTCTGGATCTCTGGGAGGCACTATTGGTTTTCCGGCGGCGGCACGAGCAATTCACGCGCAGAGGCAGTGACGGCGCATGGGCTTCACGCGCGGAGCTTGTGACGGCGCGTGGGCTTCACGCGCAGCTCCGTTCGACATCGTCTTCAAAGGATGCGCCGATCTGAGGGCGCCGGTGAGGACTGGAGGGGCGGTGTCGTCCACGGTCTGCTCCTGGCTTCAGATCTGGGACGCCTCACTCTCTCTCTCTCTCTCTCCTTGCGTTCTCTCTCTCTATCTCACGGCAGCAACGCACGAAATTTTCTAGGTTCAGGAGGAACCCTACGCTCTGATACCATGTTTATTTTGCTGAATATTTCATGCTCATGTCTTATTCCATATGATTGGGTTACAATATATAGAGTCCGGATGAGAAAAAATATCCGATTACAATCAATCAGTCATAAATTACATATATTGCAATACCTCAATAAATCAGGAAATATATATTCTAGCTAATATCATGGGCAATTAATGGAGAGAATCAAGGGAGATAATCAGGGGCTTTCTAACACATTTTACACAATAAGGCTCAGCCTTCAAGTATTGGTAATTTGTAGTCATTTGGGCTACAAAATGATGAACTTAGCAAGAACATCCCTTTAACAATCTACTGCAACCCACACAAACAATTTCCCCTCAGTAGGGACTCAAATGATATCTACAAAAATCTTGATGCCGCATCAACTATCAGCATTCACCTTATACAATTTATTATCCATATCTATGTTTATAATGGATGTACAAGCTGAATTCCCAACTGCTGCAGTATTGATTTACGAAAGACACCCTAGAAAGGATTATCATGTACAGGCTCACTTTGAATATTACCAGTTTCATTTCCTTTCTCCAGACAAAGTATTCTTGCTTACAATTCAGTTTCATGATAGCCAACCAACGCATTTATCAAATAATTTATTAAAAAGAACATATTATCAGGCAACAAATGAGTCACATATAAGTTGTAAGCATACTCAAATAAGAACTATCTCAAGGATCAAAGTGAATTACTGAAATTAACCACACAGAAACGCAAGTATACCTAACAATATTCCGATGCTGCATTTCTTTCAAGAGCGAAATCTCTCGAATCGCAGTGCTAGGCACTCCCTCATCTTCCTGCTCCAATCGAATTTTTTTCAATGCTATGGTCTCATTCGTGACGCGGTCCCGAGCCTTGTAGACCACACCGTAGGTGCCCTCACCTATCTTCTCGACTTTCTCGTACTTCAAAATTATTTAAAAAAAAAAAAACAGAGAGATAGAATCGGCAGATATTCGAAGAGGAACTCAAAATTGAACTCAAAGTCCACTACATTATACGAACCTGTTCCATGAAGCGAGCTCAGAGTTTGCAGCGAAGTTCTAAATCAAGAGAGAGAAATGAACAAAGATTAAAAGATAAATTGGTGAAGAAAGTATCATTAAGTACACGTGCAAGAAGTGGCAAGTTACCGGTGCCGGAAAAGGAGGGATTCTGCAGTGAGAGTAACAGTCGATCCACAGCCTCCTTCCCGGCGAGAGACTTGTGTCTTGTCTTGTGGTAGTCAGTTTCTTTCTCGGCTTCAAATCCCCCTCCCAAGCTGGTCTTTTTTGTTGCATAATAAATTATATTATGTTATATTTGGTATATGTCCATTAAGGGAAGAAAAAGTGAAAATTGGGAATAAATCCCTTATTAAAAAATTAATTGGCTAATATCACATCCAGATAATTATCACTTAAAAAGCGAAGAATTTAGGACTAATCAAGGGCCAGATAGTGTAGTAAAAATAGAGAAGGAACAAATTTTGAAGTGAAATTGGTGAAAGAATCAAACTTTCATTTTAAAAGGTTTCGGTCAAGGAAAGACAAAACTAAAAATTATGCTCGAATGTTTCCAAAAAAATTTATGAAAAATAGAATAGAGAGTCTAGAACACTCCTCCAGTCCTTAACATAAGACTTATTTAACTAATTTGATTAGATTAAAAAAATTAGATAAGTTAGTTAAATATAAGAAATATGACATATTTTTCCCAAAGTACCATAATCATTTTTCATAATATCCTCATTTCTTCTTCTATTTGATTATGGTTGAGGGAGTACCTATGGGAGTAATTTAGGAAAAAGTGATAGATATGAGAAATAGGTCTTATATTTAGAACCAAAATCAACTCAATAATTAAGTCTTATATTAAGGACAGGAGAAGTAGTATTTAAGGCCTAAAAGGTGCAAACAGAGTAAAAATAATTTAGGAAAAATTTCAATTAAGAACCTCTATAGCAACATAATTTTGACTCAAAACCAAATAATTCTGAAACATCACTACAGGACTAAAGGAGCCAAATGAAATCAATTGAGGAATGAAAAAGACATAATTGCCCCTAATAATTGTTTCCCCTTAAATTTGGAAAAGATAATGGCTGAAAATTAGGGTCATTCTTTCCGCTCTTTCCTCTATCACTATGAAATCTCACAGACTCATCTCTTTTCCACTCTCAAAACTCATCGTCTGTCTTGTGCTTCTGTCACTCTGAAAAGTCGTCCAAAGGACATTCATCGCCATTCATTGTGTTTGTCACACCTTACTATTATATTGACTTAGGTTCCTTTCAAAATCATTTTAGACCACATTGGATGGTTTTTGGCTCACTTTTTACCATAAAAACGCTAAACTTCGGATTTTTACTGTTCATTGGGTAAAAATCCCGTTTTTCTGGCCCAACTTCAAAAATTCATAACTTATTCCACAAAAATCTAATTGGGGTGTTCAAAATTATACTTAAAGCTCTTTAAGTCTTCTTTCAAGGAAAAATAATCTCATTGTCCAATTCCTTATGAAAAAGTGTCAGGTTTTTGAGAAATACAACACTGTCCATTTGCCAAAAATCCTTTTTCCAGATTCTGACCTTTAACTTTGAAAAATCATTATAAATCATATACTGGGCCATTTTTAACGTATTAGCTATCAAATTGAAGCTCAGGACGTTATCTTTCATCATGCCAAATTTCGTGACTAAACGCATTCAGGAGCATAATCAAAAGTTCACGTGAAACAGACAGTGTCAGTGTGCTTACAGCACTGTTAGTATAATATGTACATAACCAAAATGAGTTCATGAATTTTTATGGCTAAACCCCACAATTAGCCTTCAATCTGCAGCTTTCCCTTAGAGGATTCAGGCCCTAAAATGTTAGGTTGCATTTGTGGAATGAGATTTCATTGAAATCCCAATAGCAAATTAACCAACTATAACACCAATAAGCATCATCAACATGCACAATTATATTAATTACTATTGGTGAACTAGCATGCTTATCATTTGGCAAACTCAATCATGCAAAGGCTAAAGCAAGAAAGTACAAAGAGCAGCCACATTATAATCAAGAAAGTCCAACCACATAATAGCAATTAATCATGCAATAATCAATAATGCTAAGTTAGTATTAGTAGTTAGGTTTAACTTGCTACCTTGCTCCAAAAGCTTTAGCTTTCTTTCCTTCTCCTCTTTTCCTTCACAAATATCAAACCATAAAAAAGGGCAGCAAGAATTATTAACCAACCAAGAAAAAGCAAGAACATAAATCAAAAATGATTCTTGATCCATAAAGCTCCCTCCTTTGTTCACTATTTTTGGACTTATTTCTCTTTAACCTTAAAAATCACTTCGTGACTCATTCCTACATGGTTTTTCATGTAGATTCCAAATATGGGCTTAGATCTAGGGAAATAAAATTGCTTCTTTCAGCTACCCTTTGACCGAACCACTAGAGGACTTGAACCAAAAATCACAACTTTGCTTTAAAGCTTCCAACACTTGTTCCTTTTGGTTTACCCTACACCATTTCTTATTTTAAGCATCATGGAAGCCTTAAAACATTGAAAAACTCATCCTAGGGTTCATTCAATAGCTTGGCCGAAAATAATACTCAAAGAAACAACCATGAAAAATGCTTTAAAACAACTTATAATCACTTGCAAACACTAGGAACTAGCTTGTGTTGTTGTGTCTTAACAAGTATGATGAGCAAAACTCCCTTCCCCTCTAAATATTCAGTTCGTCCAGTATCAAAAGAGAGAGGAGACAGATTTTTCAACCGTGAAAGAGAAAGAAAACAAGATAAGAACATATCTAGAGCCAAGAACTCACCTTAAACCTTGATTGTATGACCAAAGATGCAAGCTTTCTCTTGTTTTTCTCTCAAAGCTCTCTCTTTTCTCTCCCTTTCCTCCTTGGCCGAAACTCACATCTGAAATAGGGGAGAGAAGAGCTTGTTTAATGGTTCAAAATATCTCAACCACCATCTTTAATGAGAGTCCAAGTGTTATTACCCCCTTAATCTTAATTTCTCTTTCTTAATTAACAAAAATCCAAAAGAATTTAATTACCAAAGTCAAAATCCTCTCCATTTGAGGAGTAACACTTGGCAAGTTCAAATCTTCTCCATCAAAAGCTTGACACATGGCTCAATATGATCCCTTTGACTTGTAAGACACTAATCTTGCTTTATCAGTATACTTTGACTCTAAGTTTAACTTCTTTTCTATAATTACAGTAGCTTAGCCTCTGTAATTATTTTCTGTCAGATCCTTAATTTAATCTCCTCATTTTTATCTTCCCAAATTGCCCTCTTTGCCTCAAAATTAATTTCCTCATAATTAATTAAAAAGGAAAATTAATTTCCTTCTCTTTAGGGATTTTTCCACTTTTCATCATTATTTGGAAAAATCTTGGATACTTGAGGATCTTTATTTAATTCCATAATTCCTTATAATTCCTTGGGATCTCATAAGAATTTTCTTGGAATTTTATTCCCCTTCCAAATATTTATTTGGAATTTTCCAAATAAAATCCCTTAATTAGCCTAAATCACCCTTAAATTCTCTTATAAATTATCTAAGGGTAATTTGATCATAAAACCAACTTTATAATTTCATATAACTCTCAAAGGATATTATCCTCATTTTTCCTCAATTTTCCAAGGCTTGGAAAGATTTTTCCTTATTTAAATTTTGACCAATTTTTCCTTATTTAATCAAATTCCTATTTTTGGCTTGGGAAACTACTGGAATTATTTTCCACCAAAATTCTCCTTATTATTTTTAATCCTCAACACTTTGAGAATATTTCATATTTTTAATTATCATAATGCTGGATGTGACAGTGTTGGTTCTCTCACTCTCAAAACTCACAAAGGTCGTATGAGGGAGGTTTATCAGCATCATCATCAGGTGGCAAGGGTATTGCCATTATGGCGCATTCTAAGCTTTATAACTAGAGAAAAACACAAAGCAAGAGGGAGGGTCTAATTGAGAGAGAAAACTTAGAAGCCATCTCATTTATTCATTTATACACAGTACATATGTATATAATATACTCATTGAGAGATAGATATAAAAAATGTAGAAGATATGATTGTATATGATTTACACGTTTCTTCGCACTTATTATCTCTCTATAGTCTTTCCTCTATCTCTCTTAAAATGCATCACACATACTCTATTGAGAATTTAAAAAGTTTGAATTAATAAATATATCAAAGCCTTCACATTCTTCCCCAGTAGCATTCCTTCATTAATGAGTTTTTGCTTAGCTCTGGTTGGTTTTATATTTAATATGTAAGCAAAGGAGATTCGATACATAAATTCACAACAGGAACAAGTTTATTTACAAGTGGGTTAATTTAATTGAAAAGGTTCAAGATAATTTACAAGTATGGGAGGAACTATTCACACATGGAATTTGCAAATTTGCGATAAGGATAGATAAATTAACAACATAAATAAGTCCATTTGCAAGTGAGTTAATTTAATTGAAAAAGTTCTTGATAATTTACTAGTATAGAAGGAATTATTCACAACTGGAACTTAAGAATTTGTAACAAGAATACATAAATTAACAACAGAAATACATCCATTTGCAAATGAGTTAATTTAATTGAAAAAGTTCCTGATATTTTTCAAGCGTGAGAGAAATTATTTACAATTGGAACTTGCGACTTTGCAACAAGGATAAATAAATTAACAATAGAAATATGTTTATTTGCAAGTGGGTTAATTTAATTGGAAAATTTAATTGCCTGGGAGGGAATATTCACAACTAAAATTTGCATATTTGCAATGAGGATACATATATTAATAACAAAAACACGTCAATTTGCAAGTAGGCTAATTTAATTGAAAAAGTTGAACATGATAATATAACAAGTCTGGAGGGACTATTTACTAGTGAAATTAGGTCATTTGCAATAAAGATATGCACATTAACAATAAGAAATCGTCCATTTACAAGTAAACTAGTTAAATTGAAAAAGTTAAACATGATTTTTCACGAGTGTGGGAGAGACTATTCATAAGTGGAATTAGGTAATTTGCAATACGAATACACACATAACAACAATAACTCATACATTTGTAAGTGGATTAAAAAAGTTGAACATGATTATTCATAGGTCTGGGAGGAACTATTCACAAGTGGAATTACGGCATTTGCAAGAAGGATACGTAAATTAACAACAAGAATATGTCTATTTGCAAGTAAGTTAGTTAAATTCAAGAAGTTGAATATGATAATTCACAGGTTCTT